TGGATGCACTGAGGTGTGCGGTGGTTGGTGCACCTAATTTCCTGATCGTTGATGACCTAAACATTCCTTATGCTGATTAGCAGGGCACCATAATCAGGGCAGACACTATGGAGCAGGAGCTGATTAAAAATGAACAATGATTTATAACGGGTAAAAAAGCAGGTGCTTGAGATTTCCCGTAGGGTGTATAGCGTGATAAAAAAGATAGCAATGGGATAATGGAGTCTTCAGTTCCGGCGCTTACAGATGTAACTGCACTGTCGTATAAAGGGAGTTTGAAATGAAAATGTACGCACACAAAGCAATAAGGGGAGTGGTTATTGTCCACATCATAGGCGGGAGAAAAATAAAAAAGATAGCAAGGACAACGCTTACTCGTGTGCAACTATCTTGGGTCGACATGATACAGTAATCCAGTTTCTGTAGTAGTGGCGTTTATCAAATTTCATGCAAGGAGTTTGGAATGACTCATTCTCGAGTAGGGTTATGGCACTATCCCGTCTGTTGTGCATTAGTGCCAGCATCTGGTGGTCATGAGCTATAGCACGTAGTGTAAATGTGACAGGGTATCGTCAAGGCGTTTTTTGAAAAGGGATAGGGTGGGTGCATTAATTACGTGTTCCGGGAGGGCGTTCCAAGGCTGTGCCACTCGAAGGGAGAAATAGTTTCGCCGACATTACAGGCGGCTGTACTGCGTGACCAACTTAAACTGGTGACCTCTTAGCGAGGTGTTTTGACTGAGTATTAGAAGGGAATGGCATGGGTGGTTGGGGTCTCTCAGGATTAGATACACCATTATGAGATCGCCCCTTAGACGCCGATAACGTCCACTGTATATTTTGAGGGTCTTCAGTCTGAGTGGGTAGGGGAGGCTGGTCAAACGTCTGACGCTTTTCGTTGCCCTACGTTGTGCAGTATCGAGCGCGGTGAGATGGTGCTTGAGCCAGGGTTGTCACGCTTGGATAGAGTATTCCGCGTGCGGCCTCACGTACGCACTAAGCAATTTTGGAAAGACTGAAGGGTCAAACTTCCCGAAGGCTCTACGAAGATGGCCGAGGTACTGAGTTGCTTTCTTAGCTGCCTTTTCAGTCTGCCTCGAACAACCGAGATCATCTTGAACTATCACACCGAGATCGCACTCGTGAGAAGCCCGCTGTAGAATTTGTGGTCCTAGGCGGTAGTTGTGCATACTCTTGTGCCGTATACTGAGAACTTTGCACTTGGTGACGTTGAAATGCAGCATGATGCATGCGAATGCGTTCGAACAATTCGTCAGTGTACCGAGCATAAGTTGTATCGCGAGTGTTTCCGCCACGTTGGATGTGATAATCACCAAACAAGTAGACTCGTAGCCTTAAGGATTACAAGGCTGCCTTGTAATCCGACGACACGAGGTTCGAGACTGAATAGCGATCGACGACCCTTGCAGTAACAGTAGCCCACGTGCGGCTGGTGGTGGTTGTACGGAAGCGAAGCGACGATGCTGTGTACCGGCGTACTGCTGATGCCTCTGCCTTGTCTATGGTCGCTTGACTGAGCTGCATGTACCAACACCTATAGGTAAGAGTGATCACCGAAGCTTGTAAAGAATCCTTGACTCGTGAGACGTTTCAGTCTAATTGACTGCATGGAATCGAGGGATAGGGCTCTTTATGCAACTGGATTCTTGACTAGGAACAGATGATTTTTGCTTAAGACTTGTGCAACGACTGAATGAGTTTCTTCCCCTTCCCCTGTGAGACATTTTAATAAGTCCCGGTGGTAAAGGAAGAGAATCGATAGAGCGCTTAAGAGGGGCAATGACATGTGGAAAAGTTTCGAGAAATCCAAAGACTTCTGACGTTGGTTGCAGTGCAAAAATGCCGGAATACAGCTACTAAATTGCAACGGCAGGATTAATACCCATATGAGCTTAGGTTGACCCGGTGTGCGAAAACAAATGCAAAGTTTTACTACATTTATGACTAGTCTAACGCTTCTCTAAAAGAGGTAATCGGCTGTCTGACCATGAAAAATTGCAGCAAGGCAAAAGAGAAGCCGGAGACTAAGTGGAAGTGATGCTACGGGTCTTCCAGAATCTGCATCGGAGTGAAAACGGATGTGCGGTCACACTGCGCATGCAGTCCTATAATGCAGGACATCGTTCGAAATACATCAGAGGTCTTCACTGTGACGGCTAACTTGAACCACGACACATCAGGCGATCCTGATAATGTACATCCAGCAACAGTCAAACCAATAGCTGATATTCTTCAGCACCCTATCACTCCATTTGTCGCTACAGGAATACAAGTTACCACGAGATTGGAAGGAGGCAAGGATAGTTGCGATCCAGAAGAGGGCTTTAAACCGAATCCTTTTAACCATATACCTATCAGTCTGACCTGCCTTGCTCAGGTACTTAGAAAAGCATATAAGAAACTGGATTTGTGAGCACTTGGCGGAACAATACGAATTCTTGCCTCAATAAGTTACTGTGTCCTTTAGATGAGAGTATTCGATGTCTTGATGACGGGATTCCGGTGGTGTGTTACTTTGACTTTATTAAGGCTTTCGACTCAGTAAACCACCGTTTCTTACTTCAGAAATTGATACTGTTTAGCATGCATTCTAAACCCATCTTGGGTGCCGGAATTCTTATGTAGGAAAACGTTTCGAGTTAGAATCAGTGATGTGAGCTCTCGTATGGGCGTGGCCTACAATGGCGTCCCCCAAGGATCGGTTCTAGGTCCACTATTGTTTTTTACGTTTATAAAAGAAGTGGCCTCTCTTCGTGAAGATCCCTGCTATCTCTTTGCACATGACTTAAAGCTGATCAGCAGGGGCAACAGAGCACCAGTGGCCAGTGTGGTTAACTGATCGAAGAAATGGGATTTGCCTTTGAATACCAACAAATGTTAACTACTGACCACTAGTGGAGACGGGATTGCAGCGCAGACTTCCTCAGGGTCTATCTCTACAGAGCACTAAGCAAGCACGTGATTAAGGCGTCATCGTGGTGAGCGGTTTCAAATCTTCGGTGTAATGTCGACATGCCACCAACAAAGTGTGGCAAAATTGGTTCGCCTCAAGAGAGCACGGCGTAAGAACAAGACAAAAGTTTTCCAGTGTTATACAAAACAGTGGTTAGGCAAACTGTAGAGTAGGGTGTTCAAGGTTGGTAGCCCCATCCCCGTGGTGATGTTATTTGAGTGGAATAGATTCAAAACCGTCAACCAGGATTACTGAAGGTCAACATGGGAAGTCGTATGAAGGGCGCCTAGAGCTTCGGATTCTTTTGCATGGAGCGGGGTAGACAGAGAAGCGATTTGATAGAGGGGTTTAAGGTAACGGAGGGCTTCAGTGGCATCAAGCCAACTGATTTGTTTGAGCTGGCTGCATCCGATCACTTGCGCGAACATCGTTTAAAGCTCTAGCAACAGAGGGTTAGACTGAACATCAAGGAGAACTTTTTCACGAACCGTGTGGTGCGCAGCTCGAAAAAGTGCCTTCTGAGTTATTGGGCTGCGAAACTGAAGTAGCCTTCAAAAGAGATCTAGATAAGAGTTTGTCACAACTTTTTCCAGAACTAATGTAGTTTTATCGAAATTTAGCAGCAAGACCACGTGCAGTGATATGTGATGTCGATCATGAAAACGCGATTGTTCTCGTTCTTGCTCATTTCTTGTTGCAGAAGAAAGGAGAGGCGATCAAACGTCGAAGTGCCGTGGGCTCTGGTTTCTTTCCCGGCACAAGAAGCAGGACGCTCGTTAGACGGAACCTTAGCGTCCCTGAATCTTGACCTAACCTGACTCCACCGATCAATCAACGCGTGCTCTGTAATCTGAGAAGATCGACGACTTTATGGAGCAAGATATTTGAGTTTCTGACTGTCGTGATTCCACTGATCACTTTTTGCTCCAGCAGCTGTTTGTGAGCTAATATTACATTTTATAAATGAAAATGCCTGATGAGATTTGTCGAAAAGGGTACTTTTCGCAACCTGTTTAAATGTTGTCAGCTCCATTCGAAGGCGTCTGAACTACAATGAGACAGGCAGTGTATACTAACGACGCAGACAGGTTGTTTTGTGTTGTATGAAGAACATATCGGAGATGGCGGCCAGACTATTCAAACAGCACCATCTCATCGTAGCACACAAACAAATAGCTACGTTGAGAAAAAGTCAAGACCAAAAGAAAAACTGGATACGCATGGACGAAAGAATGTGGCACACAAACTATGCTGCCAAAATTGCGGAAACGGCTATGTTGACCAAACGGGAAAATAATTGGCAAAAACAGAAACAACAACATAAAAAGCCAATGAAAAGCATTATGCGTCGTCTCTAGTTTCGTTGAAGGTGGATGAAGAAGGGTACAGCTTTGATTGGACCAAAACAGAAGACGTGGCAGTAGGCGAAACAAGAAAGTGAATTCCTGGAAGCTTGGTTTCCCACAAACAACCCAATTGACATGCGCATGTACATCGCTTTAGTATACCAACCACTCCGACAGAAAGGAATGAGAAAGATTACATCACGCGACTTAAAGCAGAACAACTCGAACGCCGATTTCATCCGCAAAGAAAGTGAATAATGAGAATGGGACAAAGATCGAGGCTGTCCCTTTCAAGCCAGCTGCACGTCGATCACGGATCGACGATGAAATCAGCATGATTGTGAGCTGCATCTCACTGCACTATCAATGCCAGCTTGCATGGTGGTGAAACGTTTGCAGTCAAACTGCCAAGCTCGGAGAACAGAACTGGTGAACAGATCGAGGAAATCATTAAAAAACTTGACAAGTGTGTCTTCATGCTATGAATAACGAGAGGACGGAAACCCTAGACATTATGGGTGCCAAGGGCGGAGAAGTTTTATCACTCATGAAGCCCATTACTAGCCGGTAGGTAATCAAATATATATAAGAGACAATCGTGGTCGAACCAAGTCTAATTTGCTAAGTCAAGTTGAATGTCCCATTGGTAAACGAAAGAAAGTATACGACGCACAGGGTTCTCTTTGATTTGCAACAGGACATGCATGGGGACCAACGAATGGCATAGGTGACCAGAAGCATTAGTGGTCAAAAAACAACAGTACAATGACTACACTGGGATCAGAACTGTTTGTCGATGCTTCTTCCATCGTACTCGGTGTAAAAGGACAGCGTGCGAGCGATCTGTTGTGATAACCGCAGTGATCCATTAGGGGAAATAAGCAGTTAGAGGTGGGGGAGATCTAAACCCCATGAGTGAGGCTTGGGAAAACAAGTGAGAATATAGCTAAGCTGATGTATTTTTCAAAGTAGTAATACCGGGGAAGAAGTGGTGAAATCGGCAGGTCGGACAGCTTACACAAGCGGTTAGTCTAGGTAGTGTACTTATGCACAGCTCAAGAGTGTTCATTGCGAGCAGCAAACGTAAGCGGATAAGCGTTGGAAGTAGCATGTAACATAAATCTAGCGATCATTCTGTACAAAAGCAAAGTAGAGTGGCTTCAGCACAGCCAGAAAGCAAACCGGTAGAGTAACGCAAGAGTTAGTTGGAAGAAGAGGTTGTAGGCTGCTGCGGAACTTCAGTGACTGAAGGGCCTAGTGGGACATCGAAGCGAAAGCGCTTGGCGGTAGTGGATGGGCCCGGAGTTTCCGATTCAGTGGTAACGGAAAACTTTGACAGCGGGTCGATCAAATCTACAGTAGGAATGTTGTAAAAAGACAAGTTCATAATAAAGGAGTGGAATGGAGTTTAGCGGATTGATAAAGCATTTTTAAGACAAACAAAGTTGCACACCAGCACTGTCTTGCTTAGTTTAGTGACAATCAACCGTCTGTGGTTGGTGCGTCTTCAATGAAACGCAAATAACCGGAAAGTGGCCAAAACAGAACTGAAATTGGTGTCAGTTCACTATGTCGAAACCATGAGTGAGCCAGGTGGGAAGCTAAATAGTAGCCCTACAGTGCCCGAGGGTTTCAAGCGTTTGGCATGTAGTACATAGGTTACAGGATGAACCGCCGAGCTCATAGTATCCGCAACCCACAGCTGACTGGTGGTGTGGTGCGTGGCAGCGAAGCGCCGGTAAGACGTACCGGTGTACTGCTGAAGTCTTGGCCGAATAAAGGCCAAGTACGTAATCGCCAAATCGACAAGTCGGAACCTTGGAATCAAGGTGAATTCCACTAACGAGTCACATAGAAGAGATAAATCCAGGAGTGTAATTGCAAGAGATTGGATTCAATGGCAACACTAAGATATTCAGGACCATCCCACAGAAATTTCGACTATATACTTAGGTTAATCCTGTTCGTTGCACAAAAAGATATCCGAGAGAATGCACAGACACTGGCCGTCATTAGCAGAGAGCATTATTGTCTAAATCTGAGTAGAGGGTCCGAAGATCTAGCTGGACATCCGTTACCAATAGTTTCCCAGTGCTCGAGAAATTGGAAGACAATTTCCCATAAGGATAACACCTCACAAGGTTTATCAGAGGACAAAAACATGATCATTCATATGAATTTAAGGCGTTTGGCTAAAAGATGTCCTATCCTATTGGGCAAAATGGTGTGAAAACCTTGGGAATGAACTGTGCGGACCTAATTCTCCGAAGAGAATCAGTTAGATTTCGCATTCATAATACACCAACCGGTTTCACATCGCCATCCTAAAGCAAGGAAGCAAAACTGACGACCCAAGACATTGGGCCCAATCGAAGTTTAAATCAACACGAAGAGAAGGCAAAAGTTCAAACTCTGATCATATTAGTTGGCCACAGAAAATGGGAGTGCAAGAGTTAGAGGAGATTAAGTTCAGGTGGAACGAATACGTGCGAGTTGGATGGACGTTACGTCTACAGTATCGAGGACGTTTAGATAAGACCGACAGTTGACTGGTTCACAGGATGGCTGAACATCTCCCATATATATATATATATATATATATATATATATATATATATATATCGCTGAGGTTGATGGTGCATACATGATGCTCTTTCACCGCAGCTGGGCTAAGCCAACTTAAACTAGATCTTTTTAAGCTAGATAAAAGTTATTCCACTTTATTTGATTTGTTCAGTTCTGTTCTTTTTCTGAATCCTCTGTGTCAATTTTGCGTGTTTGCATTCCCTCAAACGCTATGTTGGTTGTTTGATATCCGCAGTGTGGCTGCGCTTGATACGTATGTTGACAAGGTGCCCACCACCTCAATTGCTGGCTCCAGGACACCATGAATCGTTGCCGGGTGGAAGAGGTGCACGGTCTTCGTGGCCGTGCTAGGCTCAAAGAGTGGTTCCACTCAGTGGGGAGCGAATTACGGCCCAGCCACCGCGTTGTGTACGTGTTCTACGCATGATTCCTCACATAGCTAGACAGGAATGCTGCTGCTATGCATGTTGAAGGAGTGTGGGCCGGCTCTGTTGATGAAACGTGGTCCCCATTCACATGTCTCCCGGTCTTATTCCTTCGGGTTTACACTAGATATGAGGTGTGTGAATGGAGCTGTGGGTGGTGCAGCGCAATTCATCCATGGTCTCTCTGTAGGCACAGGCGTCCTGTGACTGTCCTATGGAGGCCAGTGATAGGCAAATTCGGAACCGGGTGCCGCCAACAAAATATATATCGCGAATATGCCCTGCGTGCAACATGTCTGTTACTGATGACAGCGATCGAAGTACTACCACAATGTAGCTTGCCTCTTCTCTCTCCGAATATTGGTTTAAGGTGCACAGTGGTAATAGCTACGGAACTGGCTGAAGGAATTGCAACAGAAACACCGAGTGGACTGATCGCCTGGCCAATAAGCAAAAAGTAAGGGAATAACCCAATAACAAGTCGGTGGAAGGGACAAGTGTGCCAAATTGCAAAATAGGGCAGAGGAGTTCCACGTCACTAAGTTGTTCAAAGAGCAAGGGTGCAAAATCCAGTTATATGCTCCATCACAATGGAAATCGCGGAGAAGGTAAACGAATATACACACTTACTAGCCATGTGTGCTGCATCTTGGAATAGGACGAACGGATCACCAACGACCGAAGCCCGGTAACGATCTGCCGCACAGGACAGAAAGCATTCATCAAGAGGTGCGGCGTGACGACGTAGCAAGTTATTATGGGTTCTTCGACTTGTGACCGCGTTGATGACGTCCGGCAGAGAGTGCGGTGAAGTACTCTTGAGCACTTCATACGCCATGACTTGCGATGGGTGCACTAAAAGATGGGCAGGGCGGTTAGTGAGACAACACCTTGGATGTGGTAGAGGGGTGTAGGCAAGGAAGTGTGATGAAAGAACAGACGGGCACTAGAAGCAACCCATGCGGTCAATTGAGAGAAACCCGACTGCCTAAGTCGTTGGACACAGCGCGCATGGTTGCTAGTCAACGGGATTGTGTGGATTGTTTGGCGTTTGGGTGCGAAAAGGCGAGTTTCTCGATAGTTGTTTAGTTGAGCTTAAAAGGCTCCAAAACGTTGCTATCCGTAAGAGCGCGCGAACAATATATATCGTGGGGTTTTACAGGCCAAACAGGTTATCACTTTAGTAAGTTGCTTCGGCTAACGAAGCCGGTGGCACCCGATGAACAGATCACGACAGGAAGCGTATCAAATTCCGTCGCAATCAATCTGTGTGGCGGTGTTCGGTAGCACCTACTGCTTGTCCTTCGAGATTGAATTCAGCCAAGGGCTACACCTCTGGACTAAAAATGATCTAAATCGAAGTGATGGAGACGATCTTGAACTTTCTAATCGCAATGAAATTGCACATGATATGGTGGTTTACTGACAGATTTTGGTGATAACTGGTATAATGAAAGTGGATGTAGCGAGTCAAATAGGCAGTGCAATCATCCAAATTGTAAGCCACATATTCAGGTAGCAAGTACAATACATGTTCGATGACTTCGTTACAGAAAATTAGTGACCATAATATGAAGTGGACTGGCTAAACTTTTTGAATGCAGTTCGATGGGGACTTGGACTCAGACCAGAGAGAAACTCACACCGTCCGAAAACAGTAAAGGAAGAATAGCATAAAAGAAATGCGGACTAGAGCCATTTCCGTGGATAACGTAATTGTAGTCTGTAGAACCTCCATCAGAACAGAGAAGGAATGGGCGAACTAATAGTTTATTGGCAGCACATGCTTTAGAAGAACAACTTAACCGAATACAATAACATAGTATTAGCTTCCGAGTAAAGAGAAACGGTGAAGAAGGAAAAGAGTTATGGTTTCCACAAGCAGATGCCAGTTAGGCTAATCGAACAAATGGATCAGGGGAGAACAGTGAAAAGTTGGATTCACCAGACACAAATGGTAGATAAGTAAACAGCGCTTCCCGCTGGGATACAAAAGCGTGCTGTGATCAATGGTACGAAACTGCCGGAGATTACCTGTGGAGTCCAGTGATTTAGCGTTCAGCAAGAGATTCAGCGGTGGATCAAGAACCGACGACACCGAAGGTGGAAGATAGCGCAATCGTTTTCGCCTGCCGCAATACATTTTGTGGTTCATTCGTTTGCATCGGGGGGAACGAGACGTGTGGTGCAATCGACGTTTGCCGAGGGATCCCAAAGTAGTGCGCACATGGCCGCCGGCGTGTCGAGGCAGGAGAATTTGCAACGGGACAGAATAGCTCGTGTCATCATCATCGACACTACGTCTACGATGTGCATAAACCAAGTCACGCAGCTGTAGGCGTACACAGCGAGCGCCCATGTATCTGCCGTTCCGCAGGGCGGTCTCGATAGAAAGTTGGGATCCTATGCGGAGAGAGATAGAGAAAGGTAACAGCCAGAAATAATATGCAGGAAGGAATGGTTGCATCAACACTACGAGTGCTGACAGCCAATGGGGAAATGACAAGTAAACTACACATAACACACAAACGATGCATGACATTGGTACATAAGCATCACACGAACGCTCGGGATACAATGGTTATTATAAACATATTTTCGAAAAAACATATCAGCAGTACGCCCGTACGACGTACGGATGATTCGCCGATACCAACAGTCGCGCATGGGCTACGGAAACAGCGAGAGTCAAACGGTCCCCTACGCAGGTTCAAACTGGTGACGTTATGGGTTGCAAGGTTGACGCTTTGACCTTCCGACCATCGGCCAGGTCGCAATTTGCGATGTGAATGTCCTAGTAGGGCGTACAGATGAATTTAGGCAATAAACCATGTAACCAATGGGAGATAAACATGACGGATCTGATCACTGGACGCTGATTGGCAGATGGTGAGTTTCTCGTAATTTGTTTAAATAAAGCAAAAGATAAACCCCATTGGCCCAAAAAGGTCTTTGTCTAGGGAAGTGTACGAACACAACACTTCGAAGCGCTCGAGATATCAAACGCGCTGTAATTTTCGCTTATTTTCCCTTGCTGTATAAGCGCTTGTCCAGTCACTTGTGACAAAAGTGACGACTGACGTTGAGCAGCTGTCGCGCGCTCGTCGCAACCTGACTAGACTTGAATATGATGTGATAGGTTGTGTGCCACTCTAACACTTTTAAGGAACCTTTCGAGTCGCACAGAAAGAAAAAAGGACTATATATGTGCAGCACGTACCCGGATCATCGCAACTGTCGTCCGGGAATGCGGGTAGCCACATTGAGGAGATGCCGATAGTGAAAAGTGATAAGTTGTAGATGGCAACGGTGAGCGACATACAAAGTATGAAATTTCCAGGCGGAAGAGGTCCAGTTTCAATAGAGGCAAATAGAGAGTGTGTCTATACGGTGATCTAGAGCATATCGCTTCGGTAATTGAGTAAAGACGTTGGTACATTGCAACTATAGACATAAGCTCAGCAACATGTCAATCAACCTCATCGCTCGATGCCCTTCACCGCTGATGTAAATAAACTAAGAAGATACACGAAAAGCTAGATACCTTTATTTAAAAGTTAAAGTAAGTTCCCTAGAACGAGAGTTGGTAACAACAACAACAACCACCACCACCAACAACAACCTGAGTCGATGTGTGGAGTGGGTGCTTCAAAAGCAGTGTTGCAGGGCGTAGTGGGCTCTCGCCTGACAAGCGATCTCTCATTAGAAAAAGCCACATATGTCCCTTTAACAGCAATGCGAGGTGTGACTCGGCACCAAAAAGCTACTGCTTCTTGCTTTACTCTGGTGGAGCATTGGATTCCAACAACGTGAAGCTGAAATTGTGGGGAGAATTAGGTCCGTGTTTGCCAAACGACCAAAGGAAAGGCGCATGAACTGAGCAATCAGACACCCGCTCCCAATGGGCGCGATGCGGGCAGATTATCCAACCAAAAGCTTGAGGTAGTGTCCCATAAGTCAACACCCTACCATGGCTTGCGCAACCAGGTAGTTTCGTGACGAAACCATGAAGTTCTCTGTGTTGTGTTCGGCTTTGTCATTTTCCATGGTTTTTGGTGGCCACAAGTCCATTCGTAGACTGTTTTATATAAAGTCCGCATATGTGAATTCGCAACTCCTCTTGGCCCTTCTCACTAGGCGAATGGATCAGGCTGGTTACTATTAATTAACACAACTCAAACGTTAGAAGTTGATTCCACATAGATCAGCATTTTGATCTTTACTCGAGTTCGATCTCCAATTGTAGATCGATCCACTCTTGCTCCACTGTTCTCGGCTTCAGCGCTGACTGTAGGCTTTCCGTAACAGTTTCAAAACAAGACACAACGGATCCAACAAGTAAACGAAGATGTGATATTCCGCAGCCAAGGCTGGAATAAATTTTGTCACCACGTAACTGGAATATATGCTCTAATGGACTACGGGGTCGCCGATACAAATTGAATAACGAAAGCCGGAATGATCGGGTGCTTGTGTCGGTGAGCTGATTCTAAGATACCGTCACACAACTTTCCGCTTCAGTCTGTAAAATGGCTCATAAAGCTTTCACCGGTCACAGCACCCAATATACAAGGACCTAAGGCCGATAAGATACTCGTGAGCAAAAACTGGTGATGCGTTGGTAGTAAATAGACCACAAGTATCCGACGGATAGCATGAATGTAATCACGTCAGTGCAAGCAAGCAGAAGCAATAGAAAAGTGTTGAATGGTTAAACAGCCAAACGGCAGTTGGTGCATGTTACGTGTCCTAGTTCTCTCTTGTTATGTGTGGTAAGTGGGGTAGACCACCAGCAATGCACGATGACCGCAGTGCGTGCCGAATGTTTGCACACGAACTAGCCCTTCGGAGACATAAGTGATATACAATGCAAATACACTATGGCCCTGAGACATCCACGTAGTGTACCCCTCATCGCTATGACCCAAGTGTTCGATTTCCATGAGGAATACTGCACCAGCCAGACGTGTACGACAACGGAGAACAATCGTATGTAGTACCAACCCATGAGGACAATCAGAATGGTTATGATGGCGAGCCAAAAGTAAACAGAAAATGGCGCAAACTACAGTTTTGCAAAATACGGCGAAGTATTTCTAGACAAATAGAAACATGCAATCTAACGCTGCGATGGTTTTGAATAGAACAATGAAATTTACCATGCCTTCACTTCGCAAGTGGTGACTCAAATGTTGATGCGGATATTAACAGCGCAAATGTAAAGAGCTAACTAGATGGATAGGCACCGGAAGTAACCACAAAACCATGGCCCGTAAAATACTAGCACAATAGACAGCTTTTATGGACTTCACGGCGTCAAGCAAGCCCAATGCTGTTTGCATCAACGAAGTTGTCACCATAACCGCCAACAACAGCGAACTAGCAATAGTACTGATGCTACGCTGGAACACAAGCATAATGAGCCGATCAATGGAGAAGCACAAGAGAAGAGGGAGTTAAAGCAAAGCCAGATGCTCTATGGTACCCCTAAAGGTCTACAGACCTGCATCTTACGAACGCCACGACCACAAAGAGCCAAGGTGTGAAGACACAAAAGTAATGTGATTTCCGCTGCTATGTCTGTCCAAGATTACCGCCACCCCATATAAGTCAGCATCACAAACATTAGCCAGTTATCTCCCCAAAAATGTTAGAGTTGTTTGAGTATGTATGTGTATGCAGATAGAATTTATCCTCTAAATATGACACTGAAATGATCTCCAATAAAAGCATCTGTATACTTAAGTGTCTTGCACATAAGACACTGGCATCTAATGGATTAACAAATTAAGCGCGTTGCTGGTACAGGTTGCATATCATGTCTTGTACTAGATCACCAGAGCCAAGCAGATGGTGGTTCACGAGGAGGCTAGAGGCCTCAGCGGTACGTCGGTACAGCAAATCGCATTTCGCTACCACGCGACCAACACCGGTGGCTCATGGGCTAGGCAGACCGCGAGGTTCCCGGCACCTACGCGGATTCAAACCGGTGACCTCCGAATTGCAGTGCAAGTGCGCAGTCCTTTATGGGCATGGATCGACTTGGTAGAGCACATCATCGTTGCAGACATGTTGGTACCGACCAAAACAGAGATGCGCCGAAGGCAACCAGGATAAAAGTGGTGGTGTTGTCTGAGATCATTCGGCCGAAGATGATTCACTATCGAAGGGAGAACGGTATATTTCCACATTCCTACTTTACATCTTGCGTTTTTCCCCTCCAATCGTCTCGTACAACTTCCCTTCCATCACCTCTCTCTACGACTTTCTGATTCTTGACCCTTACATTTTGAGTTGACAGAGGTTCGTCCACTACCTTGAACTCGCATACAATCGCAGAACGTCATTATGACTATGTCATCAAGTTCATGTCCAACCAACATGAAAAATGCAGTTCATCCACTTCAATTTGGAGTCATCGATCCTGGCTAAGACAGGCATGACTCAATGTGCGGATGGACCAACAGGATGCACCTGCCCCAAAATGGGAGGCATGATCGATTGATGCCCTTTGGTTATCGGAAGTCGATCTGCATGACCCGAGATTCGTATTCACGTTACGATCCCTTTCATGTGATAGTGGTGCTACCTTTTCACTGTATATAGCTGTATAAGGCAGCTTCAGTGACTGGAAAAGATGCTGGTAATTTCTATGAGCCTTCGGACTGAATCTACTCAGATTTGTAGCAAGATGCAATTCCCCTAAGGTTTCGAAGTCTCTCGAAAACAATAGGTGCTTGTTTATCATTGCAGTTTATGCCTCCATTAAATGCAGCGCTGAATTTGTGAAAGATGACCTCTACCGTCAAATGAACCAGCTTATTCGTCAAAGAAGTATAAATGCTTTAGAGTTGACTAGTTAGAAAACTGCCCAATCATGAGGGCAAGATGGGCGTCTTTGTGAGGAAAAACCAATTGGCAGCCTGAACAATGAGTCAAATGTAAATCCTCAATGCTCGTCAACACATTCCAGCTTGAAGAAGATATGAGACTCGCAAAAATCTCGGAGTAAAATAGTGCGTCTGTCTGAACAGAGACATTGAAGTCTAGTTTCAACGCGCTTCAGAGGTTAGAACAGCCGCCAATCTTGTTAACCTTCAGAAGCTAGGCCGTCTCACACTGGAAACGTGGAGTAGATCTGATGTTCGCGAAACTATATAGAACGAGGGTGGGCAGTCTATCTGCAACTGCTCAAAACGCTGAGAGCGTTGGGTTAAACACATTGAAAAGCAATTTAGTCGGTAAGAACTACCAGCTTCTCTGACGACCGGTGACCACGCTACTTCCAGTGCTGTTAAAATGGATCCACTCACTTGCAGAGTAGTCGAACATGAGATCGGACAAGATGAATTTCAATCGGCCCACTTCAAACTCGGGGGACCAGCTTTGGTGGACAATTTGTATGATCTAACAGTAAAACTGCTGGACCATGAAATCGCTCCAACTGACTGAGGCTGCTTCGTTATAGTCCTGATTTTCAAGACAGTTCACGTTCTGAATGCGGCAATCATGAAGTATCATCACCTATAAGGTATTTGCATCTGTCGTTCTGTACAGAATGATTGCCACCTGTGAAAATCAGATTTGTGAAGAGTAAGTCGGGTAACGTTAGAGTCGAGACTATACTGATCATAGATTCGCTACACGCCAGTTGTTGGAGCATTGTGTACTGGTGACTCACCGAAACCATGTTCTCAGATAAGGCAAGGTCCGTTGTATGCCCGTTGACTGACTTTCCCAAACTGCATTATACGCCATCACTTCACCAATGTGGTGGCCGGTCGATGATGTGGCATAAAAAATGGATGAGTCTCGGTCAGGTTAGTGTTTGTCGTCTTCGTGGCTGAAAACCCCGGGGTCGTCAACACCAGTGGTTAGAGACTATCAGATGTGGCACAACCGCGTAGTCAATGGCGCTCATGCATTCGGTTTCTTGAATTTAGCCTTTGATTTTCCATCCAAATTAGCTTTACGCATTTCTGTCCGGATCTCATTTTCTTTGTATTCCATTTGCGTTCGATCGTATTTTTGTACCTTTGTTATTTTGGCGAAATGAGCCGTGGCAACTAGGTCCACCGCACTTCGGTGTGCGGATCATAGTTATACAACTAAACTGAACTGGACTGATGGTCCTAGAGATCAAAGATGCCTTCGATTTGGCGAATCAAGCTGGTCTTTAAGACCACCCGATAAGAAGCTTGTCAGAGAAATACGTCAATTATACAAGGGCGTTTTACGCGCGTAGTTTGGGCAGAGTGAGGGTTTATGGACAAGTTGTCGTCGCAGGATGCCAGGTGTCGCCATTCCGTCTCAACGTCAA